TAGGGTTTCAGGATTGTTGATTCTCTGTTTGGCTTAGTTTTTCGGATCTTTGCTGTGGAGGGACGGCGTGGTGCTTCTGCCTAGAGCGCCATCTTGCCAGACTCCTTCTCTACCACACCTATTTTTAAACTTTTATTCTTTCTTGCTGGGATGGGAGAAGGATGATTAAAAACTACCATAGTTCCTTCACTAAAAGCTGTATTTTTGTTCAGACTTTAAAGCTTAAAACTTTCACTTTCATTCAGACAAGTACTAATGTTATCTTTTTTTTTTTTTTTAAAGTGCTTCAAATGTATTTTTAGATAAGGGAGATTTCTACATAGGCTCAAAGTACAAGAAAGTTGTGTACCGGCAATACACTGATAGCACATTCAGCGTTCCAGTGGAGAGAAAAGCGGAGGAAGAACATCTGGGAATTCTAGGTACGTTAACAGTGAAGTGATGCTATGTGCAGTGACCGTCTATGCCTATGGGCTTAATTTTCTCAGTCCATATATCAAAGCTATTCAATAAAAAGTATACGAGATGAGAAGTGTACATTTACTAAAAATATGGCATAATAAACATTACTCATTTCAGTCAGAAACAGGTTATCCCACATAATGATGAAATTATATATATTTGGTCTTACCAAATTGAGGTCTATATTTTTTGGTGACTTTACTAGAAATTACTTTCTAATGAAATTCTTAACCAAATTCTCTCCCTCCCAAAAAAGCTGAACGATCATAGCTATTTATTTACTTTTTAAGTTAAGATGTATAAGTACGATTAATTACAAGAAGAAATATACATATAAGAAATACGGAAAGGAAAAAAAGTGTTAGTGTGCACAGGGCAGGGGAAAAGCTGCCTTAGATTTTTCAGGAATCATTTTAAGAGAGCATGTCAAAAATATTCGACAAACTCTGACTTTGGGAATTTTCTTGAAAATCATTGACTGCAAAGAAAATCATCCCCTACCCGAAGCCCCGTTTCCACTCTCTCACACTGCCACCCCATGGGGCTTGGTTATCCTGGATTCCTGGACCCAGGGGGGATAGCATTGTTTCAGGATCACTACCAGGTAGGAGACAAGCTGAGACTGGCTAGAGGGTGAAATGGGAGTAGCCCATGCTTTCAAATACGGTAGTGTCCTAAATTCACACTAGAAGGCATGGAGACCCAAGGCTCTCAGAAATGAGAATACGTGCTGCAAAATGACTGCTGGCTGGGGTAGGACCACAGCAGACTCACCATGACTAGACCTTGACCCTGAAGGGGACTTTCAGGCCAAAAGCTTTGCTAGAACTCTTGGTAAGAGAGACACCCATGGCCTTCATCTTTAGAGGCAGCCATTTCTAGCATCTGCATTCCGAATCCTCAGGGATCAGGTAAAAATCCAAGATTAACTAGAGCATGAAGCAGCAGAGAAAGGACCGCAGACTCCAGCCTTCATGCTGAGAAAGTTACCAGACTTCTGCTTTCATTACTGAGTTAGGACTTTCAATCTGACAGGTAAATAAAGCTGCTCTTCCTTTTCACTCCTGCCAGGTCCACAACTTCATGCAGATGTAAGAGACACAGTAAAAATTATCTTCAAAAATATGGCCACAAGGCCATACTCAATACATGCCCACGGGGTGAAGACAGACAGTTCTACAGTTACTCCAACGTTACCAGGTACTCATGGGGGGGGGGTTGCGTTTTAATAGACTTTTCATCCTTCCCATACGTGACTGTTATCATAGACGTATTCCTTCCAGACAAGTCTGTCTTGAGGAAGTGAAGAGGGAGGTGGTTGTCAAGAAGATATGCATGGAGGTGTGTCTATGTGTATGCATACACATATGCACATGCATTGTCATAGTCATCTAGTGCTGCTATAACAAAAATACCTGAAGTGGATGGCTTTAACAAACAGAAATTTATTCTCTCATAGTTTAGGAGGATAGAAGTCCAAATTCAGGGTGCCAGCTCCAAGGGAAGGCTTTCTCTCTCTGCTGGCTCTGGGAGAAGGTCCTTGTCATCAATCTTCCCCTGGTCTAGGAGCTTCTCAGCACAGGGACCCCAGGCCCAAAGGACGCATTCTGCTCCTGGCTCTTCTTCCTTAGTGGTAATGAGGTCCCTTTCCTCTCTGATCCCTTCTCTCTTTTATACCTCAAAAGAAATTTACTCAAGATACAACCTAATCCTATAGATTGAGTCCTGCCTCATTAACATAATTGCCTCTAATCCTGCCTTATTAACATCGTAGAGGTTAGGATTTACAACACAAAGGATAAATACATCAGCTCACCAAATGGAGGATGACTGTACAATACTGGGAATCATGGCCTAGCCAAGTTGACACACATTTTTGGGAGACACAATTCAATCCACAACATGCATGTACCACAAAATCTACAGGAGAGCTGTAAAGGAAAAGTCTGAAGGTGGTGGACATCTACAAATACTCAAGGATGAATCAGCAGGGAGATGTTCTTTCAATCCTCAGCTAAAACACACCTCCGCATTTACCACACTGCATTGTGGCTGAATATTTCCATGCCTGTCTCCTGAAGATGCTAACAGCTAGAGGCTACTTTAAATTTTAAATCCCCAGTATTTAGTCTAGTATCTGGAATGTACTAGGAACTCAAAAAATGTTTCTTTAACACAGAGTAAAAGCTGTAACAGATTACACACATAGGTGTGTGTTTTCTTTAATGAAAAACTGTGTTTTTCTTCTATTAGTTGTAAAGTTGGCTTCTAGGGAAGGACTATTTCTCCATGGTAACTTAGAAATTGCATCAAGTGAGAAAAAATAAATTGCTCTATAGAGTTGCTCCAGTCAATTTAGGGGAATAGAAAAAAAATTAAGTAAAAAAAAAAAAAAAAACCCTTTCCTCATGGCCTTCCTTGTGAGAAAGATAAACAACACATAAATACATAATGACAAGTAAAATGTCAAGGTAAAAAAATGCTATGAAAAAGGTAGTTGTTGGGGAAGAACATTCTAGGCCTGGAAATGGGAGTGACTGTTGTGTCTGAGGCCTAGCAAGGAGGCTCCAAGCTAGAGCTGAGTAAACAAGGGACAGGATGTTAGCAGCTGAAGGAAGCAGAGGGCAGCAGGAGTAGGACCTCAGAGGCTATGGTTAGGATGCTGGATTTTACTTTAAAAACCCATGTGTAGATTTTGAGCTGGAAAGTGGTGATCTGATGAAACTTTTTGAAGGACTGTTCTGGCTGAGGAGCCATGCTAGCGCAGCAGTTAAGAGCTTGGCTGCTAACCAAAAGGTTGGCAGTTTAATCCACCAGCCACTCCTTGGAAACCCTATGGGGCAGTTCTACTCTGTCCTACAGGGTCGCTATGAGTCACATTTGACGCAATGGGTTTTTTGGGGTTTGTTCTGGCTGATGTGTGGATAAGTGACAGTAGGGAGTAGATCAGTAAGGGAACTATTGCAATATTCTGGGAAAAAATTTATTGAGACTTGGTCCAGGTTGAAAGCAGCTGATGTAGTAAGAAGTTATCAAATTCTTGTTCTATTTTAAAAGGGGTGCTAAAAGGACCTGCTGTAAAATCAAGGTTAGGGAGTGTCAGAGAAGAGAGGAGTCGAAGATGATTCCAAGGTTTGCAGCATCAATCACAGGCAGCAAAGCAGGTTGGCATGGGGAGTGGAGAAGAGAAGGAAATGTTATTTTGAGGCTTACAGGAATGATAAGAGTATAGACGGAAAGACAGTAATATGTTCAGATGATGAATCTGCACTTGATAGTCTCAGCAAAATTTTCTGCTTAGAAAAAGATGAGGACATAGAAGTGGGTCAGATTGAGGGCTTGAGGAAAAATGAGAAAGTCTACCATATCCACTGTGAGACCATCCTTCATGTCTTGCTTGATTCCCCAGTAAAGGTTTGTCAGACTCTGGCAAGGGCTCGTTGAAAATCTGCCGGCACTAATACCTAATGGTAAGGTCTACATGAGTAGGGTGGACAGGGAGTGTGATCAGGGTTGGCGAGAGGGCATGGCCGAAAGCCAAGGTCTCATAAGCAGTTATACAGAAGGCCTGAAGTGACTGGAAGGAGAGATGAGGCTGGAGAAGAGCCCAGAGTACACAGGAAGAGGGTAGGGGCCTTGGCAAGGTAAGAAGGTGGAATGACTGGCCATCTTGAAAATGACACTGTCCCTGCCCATGTCAAGGTCCAGGGTGTGGTCATGTCTTGTATGTCAGAGTGTGACAGAGTGAAACAGAGAGGAGGTAACTGTAACAGTCAATGACCAATGAGATCACGAGGTCTAATGGGTCCTTGGCAGGGATAATGAAATCGCTGAGGATGATGACAGGAAAGATGGCAAAAAGGCAGCCATGGTGAGGCTGAGGGAACTGCATAGGATAGTCCAGATACACAGACACAGAGAAGACTAGGGGAGGGCACAAGCCCCTGGTGGGAAATCACTTGGCATTTGAAGAGAAAAATGTCTTAGGGAAATACACTTTGAGCTAAGAAAAGATCTGTTGCAATATTGGAGTTGCCACCTCCTAGCTTTATGGTATGGCCTGTGTATCACAGTTAGTTAATTCATAATTGACAAAGAAGACATCAAAGTATGTCTCACAGTTTGTCTTAAAGCTGAATTCCTTGTTTTGGAAAAGAACAGAGACAATGGTGGCACAACATGAAAAATATAATCAATGTCATTGAATTGTAAAAGTGGAATTGTTATACTGGTGGATATTGTTGTACATATTTTTACCACAATAAAAGAAAAGAGGAAAAAACAAAAAACTGAATTCCTGGAAACAATCTTGAGCATCACTATTTTTTAAAACTAATTACCCTGACATATCCAGTTCCTCGGTCACTGGTTATCAAGGCCCAGTACACATGTCAAATATATACCAAATATAACCAGTTACAAGGAGCCCTGGTGGCACAGTGGTTAAGTGCTTGGCTGCTAACCGAAAGGCTGGTGGTTCGAACCCACCAGTCGCTCGGAGGGATAAAGACGTAGAGATTTACAGCTTTGGAAACCCTATGAGGCAGTTGTACTCTGTCCCGCAGGGTCGTTACGAGACAGAATCAACTCGATGGTGATGGGGTTGGTTTGGGTTTGGTATAACCAGTTGCGTTAACAATTAATTTAGGTGAAACTCGGACTTACATATGGAAAATCCCAGAAAGATCTGGAGCTGGAAAAGAGGATTCGGCTTGTATTCCATGGGCGTACTATTCAACTGTGGATCAAGTTAAGGTAAACTTTAAATCATTTGTGCTTCGTCAGTTCCCAAAATAGACAAACAACTGAAGGAAGATGGGGTTAGAGTTTTCCTGTGTTAAAATCCCAGGAAAATAAGCTGCTCTGCAATCCACTTTGGTTTCATTTTTTCGGTTTGCTTGTTTTTAAGGATCCAGTTGTAACTACCCTGTGACTGTTGATAACAGATCACACTTATAGAAATTAAATGTTAATCAATAGAATATTTTATGTCCCTTTTGATACGAAAATACATTAAATTCAAAGAATGGAAGTATATGGATTCCAAGCTCTATTACATGATAATAAAAATGCTGAGCTCAGCAGTCAATCAGCACAACTAAAGCTGTTATTTGATGAAATAGTTCAAAGCCAATAAAGCACTCAGCAACAACCACAAATCAGAAGATGCACCAAGATTGCTTTGTAGAATCAAATCCATAGTCCAAATCTTTCTCCTGAGTTCTACACCTGTGGATCCACCTGCCCATTGGACATCTACAACAGCTGGTCCATGGGCACTGGAAACTCAGCAACTCTAGCACCACAAACACCACGTCTACCCGTTCGTTCAAGCGAGAACCCTAATGTCAAGCACCTACTTCTTCCCCCTGGCTCACCTAGGCAGTTCACCCACCTGCATATAGCTCAATCCATTTCTTCTTTCCATCTCCACAGTTCAGGTCCTTCTAATTTACCTCAACTACTGCAACGGCATCCCAGTCTCCAGGCTCTTCCCCCACCAAGCCTTCTTCCTACCACCGCCAGGATGACTGGTCTAAAATGCAAATGTGCTGTCATTCCTTGTCCAAGGTTTCAATAGCTACCTGTTGCTCACGAGACAAAGTCTAAAATTCCTTAATACAGCTCAAGGGTCCATCAAGCCTTAATCTGCCACTACTGACACCCAGACAAACCAAACTTCTTGCAACTCAACAGTCTTCTTCCTATGTGCTTATTAGCACACCATATACACTTCCATTGGAGCTGATAACAAGTAGTTCACTTCTTCTATTTCTCTATTTTCTCTACGAGACTGAACTCCTGGAGGGCAGGAGCACTGTTTCATTCACCTCTGGATTCTTAGTGAATGGCATAGTGCTTGGTTCATAGGGGCACTCATGAGCTGGTTGAATAATTAGACTCACACTGTTCATTTGGGGTTCAAATGCTGCTCATTAGCTGAGCCAATTTTTGAAGACTCCATACATCTCTGTTACATCAACACGACTCACATGGCCTATCTACTACTCGCCATTGTTGTAACTATTTCAAGAGAAATTTTACTGAATTGGCAGCATCATTTTAGGCAAAATCTACTACTTAACACCATCCCTCCAAGATTCCTGAGGTCACAGCAATCAGGTCCCAGTTGTCTGAAATCCTGACCTACATCACAAGGATGACTAAAGTTTTTGCTTGTTTTCAGGATCTCTATAGTGGATTAATCGGCCCGCTGATTGTTTGTCGGACTCATTACTTAAAAGTATCTAATCCCAAAAAGATACCGGAATTTTCCCTCCTCTTTCTAGTTTTTGATGAGAATGAATCTTGGTATTTAGATGACAACATCAAAACATACTCTGATCACCCTGAGAAAGTAAACAAAGACGATGAGGAATTCATAGAAAGCAATAAAATGCATGGTATGCTATATCATTCCAAAACCTCTTTATTCCTATTTTTAACCCTTTTCATCTTTCAAATAACATTACTCTAAGACTATTTATACGTTTCGTCTTAAAATAAACCTCCTCTGCCTCATTTTGTCTGTGAGGTAGAGTTCTCAAAGAAAAAAGGAACTATGTTCCAAATCATTGACTAATTTTTCTCTCCAAGATCTCATTCCCTTTTAAATAAATCCACAGTTAGCATTAACTGGCTAGAAAAACACTCTGTGCCTTTGTTGATCGTAAGGTATCCATTTCCCCCTTTGTAGTGAAGTAAGTCCTATTACCTCAAAAAGATCCTATCCATTAACCTAATAATCCTATTTTCTGTGAAATAGCTATTGGTTTAAAATATCTTGAAAGATAAAATAAAAATCATGCGCTTTCCCCAGCAATCAATGGAAGAATGTCTGGAAACCTGCAAGGTCTCACAATGCACGTGGGAGATGAAGTCAACTGGTATCTGATGGGAATGGGCAATGAAGTAGACTTGCACAGTGTGCATTTCCACGGCCACAGCTTCCAGTACAAGGTAAGAGCTACCCTTGGCAGTTATCCTTGCTCTATCTGAAAATATTTTCTCAGAGAGACTTACGAAAAGTTAGACGTTTCAAGAGACCACTAAATTATTTTTAGAGTATGGGGCCATTTCAATTGGCATTACCAGCCTTTGTTACATTGGCTCTTCCTTGAATTTGCAGTTTTTACTGGACTTTCATGGAGCTCCGCTCAGGTATTCCTGAGTAAGGCATTTGAACAGACTTGCTAGCAGAGACGGTCAGGACTACCTACTTAATAGTGGAGTGGAGGAGAGAGTAGACAAGACTTGGTATTCCAACTATTGCCCTGCCTGTTCTAAATCCTGTATCTTAAGTGGCCTGAGGGCAAGACCTTCAGTTTGTTGTGAAACAACTCACAGATCCCTATAACTCAAGTATTACTCAGTGCTGGTTTCAGCAGGAGCCAATGGCCCTTTTGGAAATGCTTTGTTACCTTTGAGTTAGAGCAGAAAATTCAGAAGCTACAGAAAAGCACACTGCAGAAAAGTCCATTTTGTTATCTGTATTTTGTTTTACATAGATATATTCTTAGTGGACTTCTGAATTCTATCCCTAGAAAAATACCCCCAACTACTCTCTCTCTAGTGGAGACTATTCCTCAACTGCCCCTGGTTTTTGGCATCTCCATCGGCCTCGTTTTCGGCTCCCTTCATTACCCTCTTTGCCCTAAAGCCTCACAGAGAAGCTTTTATAGGATAGATTCTGGTAAAAGTGAAGTTAGGGCTGATGTGGGGCCACAGCTACAGTTCCCTTGTGTAGCTCAAGCGCTCTGAGAAAGGCAAGCCAGAGTCAAGATGTCACAGGCATGACATCTTCTGTCCTTCACACCCACTTCACAGCCCAGTGTCAAGGGCTTGGTGGGAATACAAGCACCGTTTATATTAAACTCAGAAATGTGCAGAGATCTCATTTTTTTATGGATTTATCCATTTTCAAACACCCCTCAACTGGCCAATAAAAGGTTATTTCAGTGAATTCTCACATGTAACAAAATATTTGTCATTTTTCTAATTAAGCACAGGGGCATGTATAGTTCTGATGTCTTTGACCTTTTCCCTGGGACATACCAAACCCTAAAAATGTTTCCAGTAACACCTGGAATCTGGTTACTCCACTGCCACGTGACTGATCACATTCACGCTGGAATGGAAACTACATACACCGTTCTACCAAATGAAGGTGAGTGCTTCCAGAAGTCGTGTGTCATGAACACAATTAGCATGTACTACTACTTCCCTGAATATTTCCTCCAATACGAAGCATCTGTGAATTCACTGCCCTGATTCTTTCTTCCCTACCTCTGAACAGGTATTTTTATTACTCAATGGGGTGAGATGCCCTCTCCTGACAGCCTATACTGGTAACAGCACTAACAGTTTCTAAGTTTCAAACTGACACCAATTTGATGCAGTACAATTATACCTAAAGCTGATATAAGAAAGGTGCCATGTTAGTTTCTTACCAAGAAGCCATGACTTACAAAACACACATTTTGAATTTTCGTTCTTTCTTAAAATAAAACATTAACTTTTTTCTAGGTAGTATCTGGTACACAAGAGAGGCCGCCAAACAACCCTACCCAATGTAACTGCAAGAAGTAAATGAGGCAGAGCAGTGTCTTTCTGTTCTTACTAAAGAGGAGGGTGGATAACTATTGTTGTTTGAGAAAGATTCAGGGAAGGAAAAAAAATCTAAATTCCCTGCTCCCAGACTGCAGTAACAACAAATCTCCCCAGACCTCCATGTGTAAGAATACACACACTAAAAACACAAGAAAATTAACAGCCCTTTCGTGGATAAACACCAGTGAGATGCTTTGTATCAAGTGTGAAATTCCTGCTTTATAGTTGTGGGCTCTGGGTCTCTCCTGGGTCTTCTGAGTTAGGAATTGTTGGAACTGACGATAGCAAACCCAACAGGGGGAAATTATGTAGAATAAAAAACTCCCTATGCTTCCTCCTCAAAAGAGAGATTAAAACGAACACATGAAAGAAAATATAAAGGTAAATATCCTTTGAGATTAAAAAAAAACAAAAATCACTAAAAGATTAACCCCTAGAGCAAATGAAAAGTTTTAATTTCTACTCCTGGGTCTTACATAAACTTTTTTTTTTTTATTGTACTCAGGTGAAGGCTTACAGAACAAATAGTTTCTCGTGAAAGAGTAGTACACATACTGTTTTACGACACTGGTTAACAACCCCACAACATGTCAACCCTCTAAATTCTCAACCTTTTTTTTTGGTGAAAATACACATAGCCAAAGATACACCGTTCCAAAAATTTCTACATGCACAGTTCAGTGACATTGACTACACTCTTCCAATTGTGCTGTTATTCTCACTTAAGATGAAGGCTTACAGAACAACATAGTTTCTCATTTAACAGTTACTACAAACGTTGCCCTATGACAATGGTTAACAATCTCACAACACAGCAACAAAATCCTTACTCAACCTTGGGTTCCCTATC